CCCCCTGCGGGAAGGAATGCTGCCAGCCAGCAAGGGGAAACCTGGATCCCTTCACAATGCTGCAGATATTAGACAAAAGCTGTTCTTGAGTCATGCAGCCCAGGGCTGGGACTTGATGATCCCATTCCAGGACTGTCTCACCCCATTAGGGACAGGTGGTCACCCTAGACAACAGGGTTGTCAGTGATTAAACCTGGTTGCCCTGCTTTCAGTACAGAGCTGCTGTGTCAGCTTCAGTGAGCCCAGAGAGCCCTAGGGAAGCTGCTTCACTGGGTCTCTGGTCTTGCTGCAACTGACATGGTGGTAGGCCCACTCTCTGCCCAGTGGGAGCAGTGAGTGGGTCCTGCTCCTAGTCCTGCCTCTGCTCACCAAGTCCCTAGTGGCAGGTCACAGCTGTGAAGGTGAAGAACAGCCAGAGCAGGTTCTTTGGCTTAGTGGAACAGTCGCACAGTAAGGCAAACAACACTAAGCTGATTAACATTTTTCAGCTTACAGTGTAAGGCCTACAAGGCCCTGATACAATTCCACTAAGAGCTATCTTGTGTCCAAAAATGTTGTTTTGCCCTTTTCCTTTCTGTTTTCAGTTTCTTTTTTTTCTACAGAAGCTGTTGTGTGTCACTGTTACTTTTTCCTTGTTTTGTGACATGTAAAGAGCAAAGATGGAAATAATTATTTTAAATTACCCAATAAACATATAAAAATGAAATTGAAATAGGATTAAAAGAATCATACTCTCCTATTGGTCATTAGTTCTGATATTGTTTTTGCACAATACGGTGGTTCAGATATACAAATGTTAGGTTTTGGCTACCAACTAGTTAAAAGTTATCAGTACAATAGCATATAAAAACCTATATTAAAACAACATTAAGATTGTAAAGTAAATATTCAAGCATTAGGAAATATCAGAATTAAGCCTGGTTGTACTGTCTTAATTAAGCCTCATTGTGGCCATAATATGGACTGGATGCATTTGAGGCCTGAAAACTTGTCTAAAATTCCTCCCAGCTATATTACTGGCTTAATAAAAGATATTGCCAAATGAATCTTGTTTCCCACACATAGTTTGGCAAAGATTGGCAAATAACTTGGAACAGGGTCTTGAACAAGAAGACAATTATAACAACAGCATTTCCAACTATAATACACATATATAATTATGGTGCATATTGCTATTTTATGTATTCCTTTTTGTACTTAGA